GATACCACCTCACATCTATCAGACTAGCTAAGAAAAGGATAATAACAAATGCTGGAGGGGATCTAGAAAACTGATACATTAATGCACTGTTGGTAGAACTGTAAACTGGTCCAAAAATTTTGAAGAAAAATTTGGAACTCTGCCCAAAGGGCTATAAAACTGTGTCTACCCTTTGACCCAATAATATCACTACTAGGTCAGTATCCCAAAGAGAGAAAATAAAAAGGAAAAGGATCTATATGCACAAACATATTCATAGCAATTCCTTTGTGTGTCAGCAAAGAATTGGAAACTGAAGGGATGCCCATCATTTGGCTAAACAAGTCGTGGTATATGATTAAGACGGAATACTACTGTGCTATAAGAAGAGGGAGATGGGTTTTCAGAAAAACTTGGTAACACTTATGAATTGATATGAGTGAAGTGAGCTGAACTAGAACATTGTACACAGTAACAGCAATATTGTAATGAAGATCAATGATACTCTGATAATGATCTAAGACAATTTCAAAGGATTCGTGATAAATATAGATATAGATATAAACATAGATATAGCTACAGATATATCCACCTCCAGAAAGACAACTGATGAACTCTGAGTGTAAACTGAAGCATATTGTTTTTCACTTTACTTTTCTTACCTTTTTTGTTTCATTTTTGCAACATGACTAAAATAGAAATATGTTTTGAATGACTTTACATGTATAATGGGTATCATACTGCTTGCCTTCTAAAGGGGTGGGGGCTCTGAGGAGAGAAAAAGAAACTGGAACTCAAATTTTTAAAAAAATGCTTAAAATAAATAAATTTTTTTAAAAGCTATTGGTAAATACTTAACAAAATAAATGAAAATAAAATATGAAAAATAATTTAAAAATGAGAATTGGTCAAGCAGAAACTAATGATTTCATGAGATATCAAGAAACAATTAAAAAAAAGTCAAAAAAACAAAAGAAGAAAATATGAAATATCTCAGTTCTGAAAAACAACTGACCTGGAAAACAGATCAAGAAGAAACAATCTAAAAATCGGACTACCTGAAAGACATGATCAAAAACAAGCCTAGCAATCATACTTCAAGAAGTTATAAAGAAAAACTGCCCAAATAACTTCAAACTAGAGGACAAAATAGAAACTGAAAGAATCTACCAATCACTTCCTGAAAGAAATCCCAAAATAAAACATTTCTCAAATAACTCTTATGATTTAATGTGTGAAAGGAACTATGCTAGGCACTAAGAGGATATAGTACATGATTCTCATCATAAAGGGGTACATGCTATATGCGCCAAACAAATGGTTATAACTAGTCACACAAGAATTCAAAAACATAAAGATCACTAGAGGTAGGCAGGAGGCTTCAGTATTCCCAGTGGAAACCTTTTGTCATGATTGACTCTTCCTTCACATCATCACCTGTATGCGACCTTGCAAAATCTATCATTACTTTCATTTACAAAGCACCTTAAAATTTTACCCTTTTTTACATTAGAAGTTCTTAACCTTTGTTATGTGTATCATAGGCCTCTTTGGCAGTATCTGGAGAAGATCCCCCAAAACTACCAATGAGCTCTTAATTGTCAAATCTGATTAACTTTATTCAATCCTCATTCTTCTCTATATCATCTCTAAGGTCCCCTTCAGTTCTAAAATGCTACAAAAATAAAGTCCAGATGACATTTTCTGACAGAAGGCTCACTAGTAAATAGTCTTTAATACTATCTGCTTGCTATAATGATGTGTTTTCCAACTATGTCACTTTTCAAATGAGAATCTGTATGAATCAAAGATTGCCAGACTCACTAATCACATTATCTGGAAATGAGAAACTTATTGGAATTTCATAATGAAGCAAATAAAATCATATTATTGGCACATTGTGCATTTTAAATGATAGACTCAGCTCCACAATTTGGTGACAATTCTCAAAGGAGTCAACTATCATTATTACCATCAGAAGTCTCAAACAAAAATGAAAAGGTTATAAAATCAGGAAATAGGTGCTGGTAAGTAATATAAATAATTTTTTTTCAACATGAGTAGATTATAAAGCTATTGGGGAGGTAATGCCTTTCTGAAAGACATCTTGTGTAATTTACCAAATTGATGAATTCCTCATTTAGCAACATTACTATCACAGTGAGTAGGGGCTACTATGTAAATATAAGAAGAAGCTTTACAAAAAAAAAAAAAACATTTCAAGCTTCCTTGATTTTAATAAAAATGTCACTAAACTTGGGTGAAAGTAATGCAACGAACAAATCTTGTAAACTATTTAATACTTCCCAGCTAATCACACTCACCTCCCCCCAAATTCTTGAACATTTCAGAATATAGAGGTATCACTGGAGTAGTAAAAAAAAAAAAAAAAAGATTGAAGTGAGAAAACCTGGTCTTGATATTTACCACCTTGCTGGGCAAGGGGAAGTCTCTTAACCTTAGTTGTTTTCTACATCTATAAGACAGAAAAAATACCTAGCATGTACCATCTGCCTCCAAAGGTAACTGTGGAAAGCACTTAGGAAATGCTAACGCCCTTGAAAAATGTGGATGATGATGATGGCGATTACAATGGTAATGAATCTACTCCCCCTATTAGGAACTTCGACTGAAACAGGTAGGGGTGAGAATACGAAAACACCTACAGAACAAAAGGGAAATTCTGGCAACCAAATATGCCAGGCTGAGAAGGGGCCATCACAAGATTCACGTAGTTAGCCTGAATTTCAAAGAAATAGCCAAGCCAATCTCTGCAATTCCAGAAAATTATCTCCAAGCCCTTGCTACTTAGATAAAAATATATCTCAGTAGTCTGCAGAAAGCAAATGAAGCCTTAATGTAACCATCCCTGCAGTGACCATTATGGAGCTGAGATGCTAGAGAGGGAGGTTCAACTTACTGCTGTGCACTAAAAAAGCTAAGAAGCCCATTCTGAGATGCAGTACAAGCATACCTCATTACACTATGTTTTGCTTTGTCGCCCTTTGCAGATATTTTTTTTTTATTTTTAATCAATTGAAGTTTTGTGGCAACCCTGCACTGAGCAAGTCTACGGGTGCCATTTTTCCAAAAACATGTACTCACACTGTGTCTCTGTGTGAAATCTTGGTAATTCTCACAATATTTCAAACTTTTTCATTATTATTATATCTGTTATGGTGATCTGTGATTAGTGATCTTTGATGTTACTATTGTAATTGTTTTAGGTCACCATGAACCCTGCCCATATGAGACGCCACCCTCAATCAATAAATGTTGTGTGTTCTAACTGCTCCATTGACCTGTCTCTCTCCCTCTGATGGGCCTCCCTATTCCCTGAAAAACAATATTGAGATTAGGCCAATTAATAATCTTACAATGGCCTCTAAGTATTCAAATGAAAGAAAGTGTCGATCAATGAGCAAAGTTCATCGTGGTCTTATTTTAAGAAACTGCCACAGCCACCCCAACCTTCAGCAACCACCACCCTAGAATTTTGAACATATTTTATACAAATTTGTAGCTAGTACAAATACTTGTACCTAGAATAACATTAGATGCTACATAGCAATGCATGACTAGTAAGAACAAGGCATGCAAAACCAATGTAACCTCCTCCTACGACAAGGTAACAGTGAACTGAGCATCCCTCCCACTTGACAGACACAGTACTGGCTACTGGGCCTACAAAGATGAAAGGGAAACCTGTCACTGCAGCCAGAGAGCTTACAGTGTAGCTCAAAGAGAACATGGGCCCATTGAGGCATATACAAAATATGACACAAGGTGATGGTGACGGGAAGAAGGGTGAGTGGAATCAGAAAAGGCTTCATGTGGAAGGTGGCATTTAGTAGAGCCCTTAAAAGAGACTAGGGTTTCTGGGAAACTGAGGTGAGGAGAAAGTAGGCCCATGGCGGTGACAGACATCGAGCCCAGTCCAACAAGACCAGCCTGGCTGGACTGCTGTAGTGCACATGGAAGAGAGTAATGCGAGGTTTGAAAGTTCTGTTGGGGTGATCAATAAATCTTATAAAGAAAGATCTTCCATGTCCCCTGTATGACTCTAAACACTGGGCTATAAGGCAGAGTGTGGTTATCTATGTTGACCTGAAAATTTAGCCAGTTCTCAGGAGATGTGCTCTGGGAACCTGACCAGTTCATCAGAACATATCAAGTTAATTAATATTCTAAGAAATATCTACTAGAATCTACTAAAAACATCTACTAGAATCATGGGCACCTCTGGCACAGGGCCTTCTTTGTTAGAGGCCCTATTTAAATCTTAACTGGGAAAGCCATCTTTGGATTCTCACCCCTGGAGAGGACACTGTGCCCAGGACATTCCCCATCGGGAATCCCCAGCTTGGACTTCACGTGTTGGTGCTTCCCCAAATTGGGGATGTTTTCTTATATTACTGCTATTCTTTGTATTCTTAGCCTGACTACAGTCGTATTGCCAATTGTATGTTGCTGTAAATCTATCTTTTCTATACCTATATTATAATCTTAATTAAAGCTACCTTCGCTTCTCTCTCTAGGAGTGTGTCTTATTGTAGGAGCAAATCTGAACCACATTTTCTTCCTTAATCACACATGGGGCCAGCCTGTCAAGGGCTTAAAAAGTCAAATGGAGGAGCTTATATTTGTTTCTCGATATAATAAAGATCTACCAGAGTTTATTGAGGAGGAGAGGCACAGTCAGATTTGTACTTTAGGAAAATCAGTTTGTCAGCTATGGGAAGGATGGATTGGAGTGGGAAACCAATTAAGAAAGAACTGAAATAATGCAAGCTAGAGGGAACAAAGTCCTGAAACCCAAGGGTGGCTCTGAATGGAGAGGAGGAGATGGAGAGGCTGAAATGGCAAGATTTAGCAACAAGCAGTGTGGGAGTGAAGAGGGAAGGATAGCCTTCAAAGCTGCAAATATGGGCATCTAAAAGGATGATTGTGTCCTCAACAGAAATAAGGAAATTCAGAAGAGAAACTAAGTTTGGGGACAAAGATGAATTCAGTTTCACATAGTTTATTTTGAAATCTGTATAGTACATCCAATTTGAAACATCCAATAGGTACGTGTTGATGTGAATGATCACAGTTTAGGAGAAAGACCAGGGTTGGAAATAACAGCCCACACATATTACAACTCCCGTTTTCCACTCTTCTATCTTGATTTAAATAAAACTTTTGATTTTCTCCCACGTGTCAGTCTGAAGAGCTACAGAGCATCATCTTAACCTCAGCATAGTTATGGGTGAACAACCAACTTGGCAGCTGCACTGACAGGAGGGTAATTGTCCATGACTCGGAGTGAGCTCTAGCATACTAAATGGGCATCCCAGGGTTTCTTCAGCAATCAGTCTTATTCAACTTAACATCTTTCTTGATGATCTGGACAAAAGAATCAAGAATATGTTCAGAAAAATTACAGGGAGTAATTTATTGGTTGGGACTGCTAACGTGATTAAGAATAAAACTGAAATATACCTTGAACAATTAAAGGGGAAAAAATCTTTGAAAGGGACTTAAACTCTTTAAAGCAGTGCATTTTGACACAAAAAACAAATGTTTCAAATACAGTCCCTACAGTGAATAGCTAAGCCCAAGTCCAGAAGAAAAGAGTTTTTGGGTTGTAAATGACTACAAGAGGAGGGGGGTTTGGGTTTTGTTTTCTTTTTTTAATAGTGATATGAAAATTCAGGAAAGGAACTGTGATGAGATTGGGAACAGGCACTTCATTTCTAACCCCAGCTCTGTCACTCAGTAGCTGCCCCCTTGACCTCTGTCTCCATTAAGTCATCTGTACAATAAGGAAGCTAGCTCTTCTTTCAATGAGCTCTAGAGCTTCTTCCAGGTCTAGTTTCTATGATTTGTCACCAAATATTCTTCAAATCTCTTCCACCATAGTCCTCCACTGATGACTGATACAGGGGACCACAGGTCCTCCAAACGACACCAACAGAACTTGGGCTGCACTTAAAGTCTTTTCAGCTCCACAGTCCTACAAAAGCTCACCTGTGACTACTGTTCAATGACCAGTCTAGCTAATCCTGGAAAGGATCACCAGTCGACTGGCCATCAAGTGATATTTTTCTGGCCTCAACTCATATAGCAGTCTACTAGGGTGTAAAAGGAAAATGATTTGCATCACTAGAGGGAATATTCACATTAATGAAATCATACATCATTTGGAATTGTGAAGCATTCCTCAAATATTTTTAAAGTTGTGTTATAAAAAAAGGATCAGACCTCTGCTTGTTGCCATCCAATTATCTAAACTGAATCAGAGGATGAAGGAAGTCTGGAGATGGTGTACCTTATTAAAATGAAGATCTAACAATTAGAGCTCACCTAACATGAAACAGACTGGGTCCAGACAAGGAGGTTCCAGCGCCTAAAGATCTTCCAGCAGAGGCTGGATGGCCCCCCATTGGAGATCCCGTAAAGGAAAGGCCCCTCATTTTGGAGATGAGGAAATGAAGGCCCAGGATCACAGAGCTAGTAAGTGTCTGAGGCTGGAGTTAAATACTACTCTTCTTGATTCCACATCCACTATTGCACATGCTACACCATCCTGATTCTGCTGTACTCCCCAAGACCCCTAGTGTAGTCCTTTTCCAAATACCAACAAAGTCAATAAATACACATTCAATAAACAGTTGAATTTCACAATTCCTTTATGTGATCTTTAAGAAAAATTAAGATTTCTCCAATTGATAAATGGTCAAAGGCTGGGTGGTGCAGTGGATAGAGTGCTAGCCCTGGCATCAGAAGGACCTTTCTTACTAGCTGTGTGACTCGGGCAAGTCACATAACCCTGTTTGCCTCAGTTTCCCCATTGGGAAAAATGAGAAGGAAATGAAAAAACACTCCTGTATCTTCACCAAGAAAATCCCAAATGGGGTCACAGAGAGTCAGACGTGACTGAAAAAAAAAAAAACCTGACGATAAACAAAGGATATGAACAGGCAGTTTCAGAAGAAGAAAATCAAAGCTATCCAGTAACATAAAAAAATGCTCTAAATCATTATTGTTTAGAGAAATACAAATTAAAACAATCACACCTATCAGATTGGCTAATACAACAGAAAAGGAAAATGACAAATGCTAGAGGGGATATGGAAAAATTGGGACACTAGTGCACTGCTGGTGCAACCTAGTAGGTCTGTATTCCAAAGATATTTTAAAAAAGGGTAAAAGGACCTATTTGTACAAAAATATTGAAATGGCACTTTTTGTGGTGGCAAAGAATTGGAAATTAAGGGGATGCCTATTAACTGGAAAATGGCTAAACAAGTTGTGGTATATGGTTGTGATGGAATACTATTGTGCTATAAGAAGAAGGGGATGGTTTCAGAAAAACCTGGGAAGACTTACATGAACTGATGCAAAATGAAGTGAGGAGAATCAGAAGAATATTGAAAACAGTAACAGCAATATTGTAATGATGATCAACTGTGAAAGACTTAACTACTCTGATCAAGACAATGATCTAATATTATTCCAAAGGATCCATAATGAAAAATTTATCCATCTCCAGAGAGAAAACTGTTGAACTCTGAGTGCAGACTGAAGGATACCTTTTTTATTTTCTTTATTTTTCTTGTGGGTGTGTTTTCTTTTACAACATAGCTAATATGGACATATGTTTTGCATGACTTCATAAGTATAATCTTTATTATACTGCCTTCTCAATGGGTAGTGGAGGGGTGAGAAGGAGGGAGAAAATCCAGAATTCAAAATATTTAAAAACAAACATTTAAAAAATTACATGTAATTGAGAAATATTTAATAAAATAAAAATATATTTTTAAAAAAGAAAAGAAAAATTAAGATACTATGAAGCTGGGGGATCTGATCAAAGCAAATTAAGATGACTCCATTCTTAGCCACCAGAATTTTCCTCTGAAAAATGTTCCATACAGAACAGCACACAATCTGAAAAACTGCATTGTCATGAACACAAAAAAAAAATATATCAGCAATGAACCTTCAGTTGTCTACTCTGAATGGTCAGAGCTAAATGATAAAAATTGTTCATAGAAAAGAAAAAGAAACAGAGAAAATATTTAATCTATCGCAATGCTAACAGTTTGATGAATCTACATACTAAACATATTAAAGTTTATAAAAAAAAAAAGAGTGAAGGACCAGAACAACCCTGAGTACATATTCCGTCACTTAGCCCTATGCCACTGAAGGGCCCATTGTAAACAACCTCTTAAAACAAAAGAGCTCACAAGCAAATAGGGCTGACTGCTGATATCAGTGTGGCACTGACGCATCTGTCTATTTGCCTTCAGTTGCTAGGATTCGGTAAGCACATTTACCTCCAAAGCTTGAAAATGTGCATATCTTTGATGTTCTATTGATTCCATACTAAAAGAGGATCCATGCTGACAAATATTTAAGTATTGCTTTGAAACCAAGCCTATATATTACCGACAACTTATTAGAAAGTGACAAGAAACAAAAATGATTAAACTCTTGATTAAAAGGGTTTTTTTTAAACTGGCAATGAAATCAAATAAAGGCATACTTTTAGGTATTTGCCAAAATGATAAACTTCAAACTACCAACCAAATCAACAGCTATTTATTAACCTACAATGTGCCAAGCACTGTGCTAGGCACTAGAGACAGAAATGCAAAAAATGGAACAATCCCTCACTCTCCAGGAATCTGTGTCCTACCAGAAGAGACAACATGTAGCTAGAGAGGCACACAGAATAAATAAAAAAGAAAACACCGGGCAGTAGATGACAAGGAAGATTCCTGAAGGAGCTCTGGTTGGCAGGGCTCAGAGAAGGTAGAGTTGGAGGAAGAGTTCAGTCTCCTGAGGCAGACAGAGGGAAAGCAGAAGGCATGGAGAGAATGAGCCAGGCTGGCGCCCAGTCTTGGAAATGGGAAACAGAGGGTCACGTGTGACAAAGAGAAGGCCAACTTAGTGGTACTATATAAAGCAAGAAGGAAGATAATCTACAATGAGGCTAAGCCTAACTACAAAGGTCTTTAAAAATCAGAGGAATTCATGTCTTATCCTGGAGGCAAGAAAGAGACACCGCAGTTTATTAAATAGGAGAGTGACATGGTCCAATCTGCACACAGGGAAAAGTACTTTTCACAGCAGTGGAGATGTTGGGCCTGAGCAGGCAGGGAGATAATGAGACAGCTACCACAATAGTCTGGGCCAAAGGCGATGAGCCTGAACTGGATGTGAACAGTGTGAGCAGAGAGAAAAATTAGGTTGCAGAGATAGAAACAACAAAATTTGGCAGGCTGACAGTCATGTGAGATGAGGGATCATAAGAAGGGCAGGATGATGCTGAGGTTACAGAGCTGGGAAACTAGAAAAATGGTGGTGCCTTTGACAGAAGTAGGAACGTTTATAAGAAAGGTGGTTTGGGGAGGATGAGAAGGCAATGAGTTCTGTTTGAGACATACTGAGTGTGAGACATCTGAAATGTCCACTAGGCAGCAAGTGATGCAGGACTGGAGCTCAAGGTAAAGACTCAGGTTCAACACAGAGAACTGGGAGTCATCGATATAGACAGCTGGACATAATTCAGGACACATAAGCCTTGTCTAACCAGAATCTTTTTCAATCTCACATAAGAAAATGCATGTTAAACAAATGGAAAATAAGGGAATTATGTAGATTTGTTTTAAATGAAGCCACTCCTAGGAATCAGTTTGAAGATGAGAGGAAGCTAAGGCCTAGTGGCTTCTAAAACTGCTTTTTTATCCCTAAACCTTTCCACCAGTCTTAAATACTACCACTAGTGGGTTCCACATTCAATCTCACCCAACGGGCTATGGAAAGAACAGGAAACTTGTAAGAGTTAAGAGTGATGAGAATGGAAGAGAACTATGAGATTCCTCATCCCACGCATTCTGAACAGAATATTATCTACCCTTTGCCTCATGGAGATGCCAAGGAAATTGGCCAACTGTCTCTACATGCCCTCTGGTAGGCAGGAGGCGTTACTAAGGCTGCTTACTTAGAATGAAAAGTTCAGGATGATATAGTAAGGAAATCTGCCAATAGTAACTTTGAAAAATCAAAATTTCTCCTCTGATTTAAAAGAGCACAAATTCTTGTTCAGATCATACAAGCCTCCTTAGGTCATCATATTGGCTTCCTCTCACATGGTACCTCAGAACTACGAAACAAAGTTCTTCATTCTTTGACATAAATCTGACTGCCATGGATCATTTGTTTATCCTAACTTTAGTATTTTAATGAGTGTATGCATGTACATATGTGTGTACTTGCATTTAGACATCTTTTTTTCACCTATCTGTCTATTCGCCCTTGCTAGTCTGTCCCCAAAGCCACCTGGAATATATTTATTCCCTGTCCCTATTTGCTAAGTCCTTTTCTTTTCACTTTTCAAAAAGTTACTGAAATTATACATTCTCCATGAATACTCTTAAATAAGTGGGAATATGGTAGGAATTAAAGAGTTCATTCATTTACCCTACCCAACTTCATAAAGAATTATTTGTTAATATGACTATCTTGAAAGTGAGACTACGCAGTGGATAGAGTACCGGCCTTGGAGTCAGGAGGACCTGAGTTCAAATCCAGCCTCAGACACTTTATACTTACTAGCTGTGAGACCTTGACAAGTCACTTAACCCCACTGCCTACCCCAAAAAAAAGACTTATAACAGGTCTGGGGCAGCTAGGTGGCAACACTTACTAGTTGTGTGACCCTGGTCAAGTCACTTAACCCCAAATGCCTAGCAAAAAAAAAAAAGTGAGAATAAAAAGTTGTCCAGCCCACTTTTAAAAAAAAAAAGTATTTGTCAGCCTGCCTTTGAGCAAAGTAAAATCAACACTATTTTCTACTTATCTGATATCAGCTTTTATTCACTTTGGACAAGTGGCTTTGTATTTAACTATTCCTTTAAATCAATGAAGCTATTCTTGTCTATGTATATAGAAGGAATATCAAAGAGATTCTAAAGGAAAATGAATGTACTTGACAAAGTGTGGATAATGGTAACAAAATTTTAGGGTTTTTTTTCCTATTTAGCCTTTAGCTTCCTAAGTAGCATGGGACCAAACTGCTAAAATATCAAGAAACAGTAACAAGACAATGTTTTGTTTACATACACCTCTAAAGAAGTCAGGTTTTTTCAATACCACATCTAAGAAAAAAATTCAGTTTCTGAGGAAAATCCAAGTTAGCAGTCACAATATTTTACAGCAAAAGGAACATAGATCTAAATAACTTGGGTCAGAATCATTTACATTGCAGCCTTGGTCACATCTGCCTTTTGCATAGATTTTATTCAAATGTCTGGATACTGGGTAAAGAATTTCATTTATGACCCATGTGGAGAGATCTTCATAGGACTATACTCTAGAACCAGAGCAAAATTCCTTATCATACGTGGGTTGGGTTTAACACTTACCTACGTAAATGAGCAATGCTGAAATGGGGGGAGAGAGAAAGAAGAAAAGGGAGAAAGGGACAGGGATAAGAATAGAGAGGAAGAAAGAAGGGGAACAGAAGGGAGAAGAAGGAAGAGAAAAAGAGGAGAAAGGAGAGGAGGAAAGCAGGCAATGAGGGGGAAGGGAAAGGAGGAAATGGGGAAAAGGGAGGGAGGAGAGGGAAAGGGAGAGGTGGCTGGACTGGGCGAGGAACAGCATCTTTCTGCTTTATGAGGGAGCTCATGGTATGGCGTTTCAGTCTTACTGCCATGAGCAATAAGCTATATGTTTTCTTCAGTATATTTCAAGTTAATTCAATAAACCTTTCAGCACCAACTATGTGTAGAATATCATGGCAGTTGCTGGGAGATACAGAAATGTTAAATAAGGCATGGCCCCCACCCTTACAAATATTTCAATCTAACTGAAGGAGGGAAAGGAGATGGATCTGGCTGTTACAAAATCATAAAAATTCAGGCCATTATTAAAATCCTTCAAATATTTTAGGCTCTAGAATTTAAATTTAATGTTTCTTCTTCCTTTCCTGCTCTTTTCCCTGACTTAGGTAAGGTGTTTGACTAGATTGTTGTATAGTAGAGCCAAAATCTCTCTTCTCTATGAATGGCTTTCTAGTGTTATATAAATAATACTGTTAACATCTCACTTATTTGAGCTTGAGTATCTATCTGGACCAGTCTAGAACAAGTGAACAGACAAGAAGTTTATAAAGCATTGCAATTTCTATTTGATATAGGAAAAACAGCTCCTGACACCTCAACTGCCTCCCTCCTCCCTGCCCCAGGAGGTGAACAGGGGAGGCATCACTGTGTTTCAACATAAATATACTAATACTCTTGGTGATGAGCTCCAGTAATCAAGAAAAGGTTAAAATTCCAGTCAAAATATTCTATTTAAGGAGGTCAAGAAATACATAAAACACTTAACAAAGATTTTACTCTAAATAGTTTTTTTTTTAATTTTATGTTCCATTGGCTCAAGGGAATATAGGAAAATTTACTTCCTGAATTTTATTTCTTGAAGATGCTTATATTGCACTTACCTCTATAACATTCTTTAAAGTGTTATTAAAAAGTAGTTCCTACTGGTAAATTGATTTTGAACTTGAAAAGTCTTCCTAAGGATAAAAATAGGATTAAACATAGGTGTTTCATGAGTATTCAGAGAAATTAATGAAAAATAAGCCACTCAGTTTTTTTTTTTAATAAAGGACTTGAAGGATACTTGGAACTCCAGGGGAGGAGAAGTGCAAGACAGAGCTTACCAGCTATACTACCTTGCCACTTCCCCCTCAATCTGGACTTCCACTTATTTATTTTATTAATTTATTTTGATTTATCAACAATCATTTCCAGAAGCTTTTGAGTTTTAAATTTTCCTCCCCTTCCCTTTCCACCTCCCTCCCCAAGACAGCACACAATCTGATATAGGCTATACATATACATTCCTATTAAACATATTTTCACATTAGTGATATTGTAAGGAAAAATTAGAACCAATAGGAGGAAACACAAGAAAGACGAAACAAAACAAAACAGAAGGAAAAAAATATCAAATAGTACGCTTCGATCTGCATTCAAATTCCATAGTTCTTTCTTTGGATGTGGATAGCATTTCCCATCATGACACGTTTGGAGATGTCTTAGATCCTTGCATTGCTGAGAAGGGCTAAGTCTATCAAAGTTAGTCATCACACAACGTGGTTGTTACTGTGTACAACGTTCCCCTGGTTCTGCTCACTTCACTCAGCATCAGTCCATGCAAGCCTTTCCAGTTTTTTCTGAAGTCCACTTGCTCATCATTTCTTATAGCACAATAGTATTCCATTACATTCATATACCACAACTTGTTCAGCCATTTCCCAAATGATGGGCATCCTCTCTATTTCCAATTCTTTGCCACCACAAAAAGAGCTGCTATGTATATTTTTGTACATGTGGGTCCTTTTCCCATTTGTCTGATCTCTTTGGGATATAGCCCTAGAAGTGCTACTGCTGGATCAAAGGGTATGCACATTTTGTAGCCCTTTGGCCATAGTTCCAAATTGCTCTCCAAAATGGTTGGATGGTTTCACAACTCCACCAACAATGCATTAGTGTTCCAATTTTCTCACGTCTTCTCCAACATTTATCATTTTCCCGTTTTGTCATGTTGGCCAGTCTGATAGGTATAATGTAGTACCTCAAAGTTGTTTTGATTTGCATTTCTCTAATCAACAGTGATTTAGAGCATTTTTTCATATGACTATAGATGGCTTTAATTTCTTCATCTGAAAACTGCCTACTCATATCCTTTGACCATTTATCAATTGGGGAATGACTTGTATTCTTATAAATTTGACTTAATTCTCTATATATTTTAGAAATGAGGCCCTTATCAGAGACACTGGTTAAAAAAATTCTTTCCTAATCTTCTACTTTCCTTCCAATCTTGGTTGTATTGGCTTTATTTGTACAAAAACTTTTCAATTTAATGTAATCAAAATTATCCATTTAGCATTTCATAATGTTCTCTATCTCCTGTTTGGTCATGAATTCTTCTGTTCTCCATAAATCTGACAGTACACACTATTCCTTGCTCTCCTAGTTTGCTTATAGTATCAGCCTTTATACCTAAATCATGAACCCATTTTGACTTTATTTTGGTATATAGTGTGATATTTTGATCTATACCTAGTTTCTGCCATACTCTTTTCCAGGTTTCCCAGCAGTTTTTGTCAAAGAGTGAGTTCTTATCACAGAAGCTGAGGTCTTTGGGTCTATCAAATAGTAGATTACTAAAGTCACTGATTACTGTGTCTTGTGTACCTAACCTATTCCACTGATCAACCACTCTATTTCTTAGCCAGTATCAAGTAGTTTTGATGACTGCTCCTTTATAATACAATTTAAGATCTAGAATGGCTTGGCCACCTTCCCCTGCATTTCTTTTCATTAGTTCATTAGATATTCTGGACCTTTTGTTATTCCAAATTAATCTCATTATTTTTCCTAGCTCTATAATTTTTGGTAGTTTGATTGATACAGCACTGAATAAGTAAATTAGCTTAGGTAGAATTGTCATTTGAATTATATTAGCTTGGCCGTAATACCCATGAGCAACTGATATTTTTCCAACTATTTACATCTGACTTTATTTGTGTGAAAAGTGTTTTGTAATTGTATTCTGGACTTCCACTTCTTGCCAATCAAATAAACTGTGAGCCACAGACCTAGGGCTTAGCTATCATTACTACTCTGAAGGGTATGAGAATGTATTGCCCTATCCCTAGCAATGCTTTTCCTCCAACCTGAATGCCAAGGATTGAGTAAGTGGTTGCCCAAACAGAATATACCCATTCATGTCATCCCTACCCATGTCTTACCCTCCTTATCCCCCTGCCTTCCCCTTTTATTTCTGACCAATTGGAATCAAGCTTCTAGTGTTAACCATCTTTTCTACTGCACCTCTTCTATATTCCTCCTACCTTCTCGCAATCATTGAAACTTGTCTCTTCCCAGCAGACACTATAGCCTTAGACATACTCACCAACACTGGATGTACCTTCTCTCATTCTAAGAAAGAGGAGGGATGCTTCTTGCTCCTCACTGTTGCTTCTAGATCCTTCCCCTATCATTGTGCTACCACTGTTCAGCAGAGTATGGATAGTAATGGAGAGGGCAGATGATAGGAGTAATCCAGGGTTGGGATTTGACAAGGGATGAAAAGGGAAGGGATTCAAGGATAGAGGACAGTATAAAGTAGGACTCATTAGCTGTAGTGTCAATATTTTGAAGAGAGGAAAGTAAGGTCATATATAGAGCAGGGGTAATGGCCTGGGTGGAGTGATCAGAGGTCATCAGTCATGGCAAAGCGAGGTTTAAGGGAGAGATGAAAGGCTAGGAGATTGTGATCAGATAAAGTAACTTGAAAGGTTTCAGTCATGGAAGTAGAATGTTCGTTCATGGTTGACAGTGAGATCTCTAGGAGATGACCTTTCCTGTGTGTGGCTGAGGTGAATGATGAACTGGGAAGCAAGAATGTTTGGAGGGCACCGGCATAGACATGGAGAGCCTTCCATATGGGGATCGGGTTAGGTTGGTGGGGAAGACTGAGGCAGATATTGAACTTAAGATAAGAATAATAAAAATAAATAGCTGTCTCCAGGTCCTGGTTAGCCTTATGTATTTGGATGCAGTAAATCTCAGAGGAGGAGAGGTTCCATGACTGAAACCTTTCAAGTTACTTTATCTGATCACAATCTCCTAGCCTTTCATCTCTCCCTTAAACCTCGCTTTGCCATGACTGATGACCTCTGATCACTCCACCCAGGCCATTACCCCTGCTCTATATATGACCTTACTTTCCTCTCTTCAAAATATTGACACTACAGCTAATGAGTCCTACTTTATACTGTCCTCTATCCTTGAATCCCTTCCCTTTTCATCCCTTGTCAAATCCCAACCCTGGATTACTCCTATCATCTGCCCTCTCCATTACTATCCATACTCTGCTGAACAGTGGTAGCACAAGTCATACAACTGTGCTAACTGTATCCACCACCAACTTTATCTAATATCAACTGAGCCCTCATTGCTACCCTCCAATGCTCTTACTCCTCCCAATTGACTCTTCCACCCCTTCCTCTCTCCAATTACCTCCACCACGTTCACTGCTTCCCATGGCCCCTCCTCCTCTCTCAAAAAAAAGGAGCTGGTCTTCACTGAACAAGACTGAAGCCATCTACTGTGGGATTCTCTTCTCATAAATTCTATCCTTCAAAGCTTTTCAATATCATCTCCTACCCTCTCTTCCTTTGCTCCAGCATCAGGAGAAGAGGTGGCTCTTCTTCATGCCAAGGTCAATACCTCCATACTTGTGCTCTTCATCCCATCCTCTCCCATCTCCTCTGTCATTAATGTTCACTCTCTGCTTACCCAGTGACTCCTCCCTGACTGCCTACAAACATGCCCAGTCCTTCTCCCCCAATTCTTCAAGACTCAGTCCAAGAGGGCTTTGCTGATTCACCCTATAACGGGAGAGAGTGGCCAGTGTTTTGAGCATGCACAGTGTTTTCTGCCTTCTACATCTCCATGTGGAGCTTGCAGAAGTGTGTAGTGACCCACACGGAGGGGCCCTGCCCCCAATACGAAGCATGAGTGGGTATTCTGCAACTATTTCCTATCTTTTTTTTTTAATTGTCTGCTGAGTCAGAATTGAATATGCAATTAAAAGGCACAACCAGGAAAAGTCACCTTCTCTGTCCCTGGCAGCTTTGAGGGAGGAGGAAGAACTCTTCCAAGCCTCCTGATGGGGGAGCCCTTCTGCCACCTGCATGCCGTGTCTTTTGCTGTATTCTGTCTTCCTTGATCTTAGGTGAATGCGTCTGAGACACAATGACCCCATGAGCCTGCAGAAGTCCAGCAACGAGAGCCCACAGTACAACTGGCCATAGCCCGAGCAACTGAACCCAATACAACCCTGAGGCTGCTCGGCCCAGGCCAGAAGTGGATGCATCCAGCAGCTGTCCTACAAACAAGGAAACAATCCTCTGGCAGTCATGCACCTAGAAGGAGGCTCATTTGGAGAAAAGCCTTGTGGTTCACCCGTTTAAGTCTGAGCTCATTCTCTCCAGAAACTGAGGTGGCAGACGAGAGTATCCCCCAGTTCTGGGGGAATGTTTCATAGGAACCACTTCGTAAGTTCTAGTCCATTCTCTCCAGGCACTGGGGTATAGAGATGAGTGTATGTCCCAATTCAGAGAATCATTTTTGTACTTCTCTTCTTTCTATACCTTTCAGTTCATATCCCTTTGGAAAAGCTAACTGATGATAACTGGTTATTAAAGAGATCGGTCAATATTGTATTGAGGCTGTACTTCGGAGGCCAGCTGGTAATACAGTAGAAAGATCTCTAGACCTGGAGTTAGGTAGGGGTAGAGTTCCTGAGAACTAGAGACCTGAGTTCAAATAAGTCTTCAGACATTTACTAGCTGTATGACTCTAGACAAGCTGCTTAACCACTGACTCAGTTTTCTCATCTGTAAAACAGGAATAATAATAATAGGACTTACCCTCCCCCCACGGGTGTTGTGATAAAATAATATTTGGAAAGCACTCTGTAAACCTAGAAGTGCTATATAAAGGCAAACAATTGCTATTATCATTAATTACTGGTTAGCTGTTCCTGGGGAAATACTTTGTTTGGATGAGGACTCATGAGCTACAGTACTAGAAGAAAATACTCCAACACTTCCAGATTACACAGAGAACACGGAAGAGGGATGAGTACCCTTGCCCTGGACACCTGACCTGCCACTGTGTGAGTTGGCTGAGAGAGTGAGCGAAGAGTCTATCTATCTGGGCTATGTGAAGGCAGAGAACATGGCACCCCCTTCACAGCCTGGGTCATCTCTGGCCAGTCTCCATTACTCCCTAACTGATAAGGCTTCTCTCCTCATTTTTGCCCTCAATAATTACTTTGTACAAATTTTCCATTTACTTATTTATGCCCATTTTGTGGCCATGTGTCCTCAGTAAAATGTGAGCTCCTCAAACACAGGAATAGTTTCCTTTCTTTGTCTTTGTATCCTCAGTGCCCAACACAGTACCTAGCACTAATACTTAGTGAAGTGAACTGAATAGCAGCAGAGGATCATCTAGTCCAATCCCTTCATTTTATAGATAAGGAAATCAAGGCAAGAAAGGTTAAATGACTGGCCCAGGAACACACAGGTAGAGAACAGCGGAGCTGAAAGTCAAGCCGAGGCTCTATGACTCCAAGTCCAACACTCTTTCCAATATACCAGTTTTTATTTAAGAGAAAAATTATCCAAGTGTGTAAGGTTATGCCACAACGTCATAAAGATCTCACTGCTGAGTTACTGTAAGCCAGAGATTTTCCTGCCTCTTCCCTTCTCTGAGGGGTTACAGGGTCCTGGCACACCCCTCCTAAAATCCCTCTGGCTAGTCCTCCAGAGTGAAACCCAGGAAAAGAACTGCATTAGGACTTAATCGAATCTTCCCAAACTGAGAAGATTTTTGCTGGTTTCATGTGTTCCTACTTTTCTCCCTTCCTATCCTGACATTACTGTTTTGAAAAATTTGCAAAAGTTCATTGCTTAAACCCTCCCGTCAAATACATTATCAAAAGGAATGGAATTCTGATATTCACATGCCCCTCTGATATGGTAAACTACACCTGCAGCATTCCCCTGATCTACCTGGAGAGAATCCCTGTCCAAAAAAAAAAAAAGTAATTAGATTCGTTTGGAATGGCCTGTCCTTAGAGAAGTCCTTTGCAATCATCATTTCTTCTTCAAGACATTCATTAATCATCTTTTTAATAATATTCTTCAATTTTCCCAAGAATCAAAGTCAAGCTCACTAGAATATAGTTTGCAATCTTTGGTATTATCCCTTTTATCATTATCAGGAAAACATTTGCCTCTTTGAGGCCTATGGCAACCCTCCAGTTCTCCCCAATCTTTCAGAGATCACCAATAGTAGCCCAGCAATCACACTGCCAATTCTGTAGATGACCTGAGGTTTAGATCATCTGGTCCTGGTGACTTTAGCTGATCCAGAGCAACTGGGTGCTCTGTCACTATGTCCCTACTTTAGCCTAGATTTTAACTCCTTATTCACCACGTCTGTCCTTTCAAGTTCAAGACCACCTCCTTGGCAGAGGAAACAAACAAAATAAGAGTTGTCTCCCCACAAGCAGTAGGTTCAAGCCCTTTTCTTCAATCCCCTTTTCTCCAATATTAACTCCTTAACTGCCTTTTTTTTTTGGGGGGGGGGACACTTTAAGCATTCCTAGCCAGCTCTAGACTCCTAACACGGTTTCTAATGTTTCGTATTCATTATGCATTACCAGCCCTGGCTTTCATCTTCTCTAGGTGGCCTTTTAAAATCTGTATTGACTGATGAGCTCTCTATGCACCCCCAAGTCTCTTTAAATAACTGCCCCTTTTCCTTCTCATTGGAAAAGTTCCTCTTTTCGTCTACATAATTTCATTCTTGAGAGATTACCAGACCTCCTAGAAAGTTCTTCCTCACTGATGAAAATCAAATTCAGAACGGCAGCTGCCTTCTCTGCTTCTACCTTTGAAAAATGAAATTATCATTAAGACTAGTCAAGAAATTACTAGCTGCTCTGCTTTGGGACAAGAGGACAGCACCAGCCATGTGAGAGGCAGCATGGTACAGAGGACAGAGCGCTGTACTTGGAGTCAGGAGACCTGGGCTCAAATCCCACTTCAGATATTTACTGGCAAATCACTTAACCTCTATGAGCTTCATTTACTCTGGCCATAAAATGAGAGGGGAAAACTCAACAGTTGCTAAGGTCCCTTCCAGTTCTAAATCTCTGATCCTATGTCCAGATAACTGAAGTCTCCCATCACTACTGGATCACACCTGTGCACTGGGGGCTTCTAAAGTTTCCTGAATTCCTTTCTGTCCAACAGGATATAATAGACAATAATGAAAATATCAATTCCATTCTGCCTCTGCCAAATACTCTCTTCTGGGCTTCCTCCTCTGGTTAAACTGCATTGCTGCTTTTTGCTTTCACATCACTTCATTTCTGCACATATCCATTTCTCCTCACCACCACCACCCCTACCCATGAGTCTTTTCTTGTAACAAAAGAAAATTTAAGTAAAACCAACCAATCTACTGCATTTGACAGCCTAAGAAATATTCCACACCTATCACCACCCATTGTAGCTCAGAGAGCTGCCAGTCGCAGCCT